AGTCGTCTGCGGTCTTGCTTTGCTCTGGTCCTTGCTGATGATGAGGGTTTGGGGATTGGACCCTGGGTTAGCCTGGCCCCTGAGCTCCTCCTCGAAATCCCCATATTCTACCCACCCAGTGCCCAAACTATCCCCCTTACTGTGGGGGAAACATTGCAAGACCCCAGCAATGTAGATGCCTACAGACAATACGGAATCTTATAAAACATTTTTTTTCCTATACTGCATAACTGGGATTAAGTTTAATTTATAAACCAGGTACAACAAGACATAAACAACTGTGATAATCTAGGACTCTGATGACAAGACACTGTAATAAAAGTCACATGAATGTGCTCTCTACCCTCTCAGAATAGCCTATTGTCCTGTCCTCCCTGTCCTCCCAGAGGTGACCCACAGATATACAGTGTGCCTTCTCTCTGGACAGACAGACCTGAAATTCAGAAAGAGAGAGAAGCTTTACCAGGCAAGGTGACGAGTGTCCCTCACCTCTGTGTAACCTCAGCTCCAGCCCTCTCTCCTACTCACAGACTTCGCTGGTGTGCCTTCCCCTCTGGACCTGTTGGGGCCCTCTTTCTTGGAGTTCCCGTTCCTCTCCTTCTGAGTCCGTGGGGGATTGCACTTCACGCCATGCATGGCCATGTGTCTATCTTCAGCCAATAAGACATGAACGCAGTATCACTTGCCCTGGAAGCCCCTCAAGGCCAATTCATCTCTCATTTTCTTGTCCCCTTGCCACAGTGAGTGATGATGACCCAGGGGGCAGAGGGTCCATCACCGAGTTGGGACAACACAGGGCAGAGCCCCCACTGGCCATGATGGATCCATAGCACAGTGGACAGACATGCCCATTTTAAGCCACTGACACGCGGGGGCTGTTTGTTACTGCAGCATGACCTAACCCATCCTGACCACGCACTGGCAGCCTCCCACCCCTTCCCTCGGTGGGATCGTGCACATGCAGTGGGTGCCTTTTCTTCTCTGTGCTTCTGCTCATGTAGGTCACTCTGTTGCCTATGCTTTCAGGCCCTCCAACACCAACCCACCTGCTACGCTCCTCCAAACCCAGATCAAATGTCACCTACTCCTCAAAGGCTCCTGTCTCCCCCAGGCAGAAGAAATGTTTCTCCTTTGGGCTCAGCTGGGAGCACCTGTGGTGAACGACTGAGAGCAGGTCTATGGCCAGGTGGGACATGTCCTCCTCCCTGCACTGTTTTAAGAATCCTCTGGTTGTGCAAAGTCCGTAGCCCTTGCTTTTTTTTTTTTTTCTTTTTTCTTTTTCCAACCTATGTCACGTCTTCCTGCAGAATAAGAAGAAGAATGTCAACCATGGTTTCTCCGCTCTGGAGGATTCCAGTCTTGGCATTTTCCCCAAGGCACCCAGTGCACATGCCAACCATTCTGCTTTGGAAGCCCAGAAGGTGCTGGAGAGACAGCAGCCGAGTGGGACGGAGGCACGTGGCCACCTGGCACAGCATACGGAGGCGCAGCTCCTGCGGCAGTGGTTGGGGGAATAGCCTGGAGAGCAACTGACACTCCCGACATGAGGAGACAGCATGAGACGGGGGTGTTGTCCCCAGACCTGTAGGAGTGTGTCCTTTGTCAGGAGCAGCGGTCCCCAACACTGTCCACCTGCTAAAGTCCTGGAGAGCTTTCAAGACCCCATGCCTAGGTCGCCTCCCAGACTCCTCAGACCAGAGCCTCTGGGGCTGCTGCCCAAGTATCGTCATGTCTCCAGAAATCTCTGTGTGACACGTGTGCAGAGCAGGCTGACAGCTGCCCTTCCCAAGGCAGCCTCTCCGTGTGACCCCAGAAGGCTGATGGCATCATGGATCCTACTCTAGGTGTCACACCCTTGGCAATACCTGCTTCCTATAAAACAGACTTTACAGCATCAGAGCCTGGTGCTCGCTGGGCAGGAGACCTTGGCTGCTCATGCTTTAAACTTTGCTTCATCATCATGTCACCTTTGCTCCATGAAATGGACAGCTGCTTGGAGAGATGAGAAAACCAAGGTTGAAAGATGAAAGTGATATTCACACAGCTGGTGGCAGCAATCAGGATTCTGCTCCAGAGCCCCTTTTCCTCGGCATTAGGGTTTTCAGCTGTGGTAGCTGCAAACATCTGAGCCCCTGCAAGCATCTTACTCAAATATCATTTTTAAATGCACATAGACAATCTTTCTGAGCCCCTGCAAGCATCTTACTCAAATATCATTTTTAAATGCACATAGACAATCTTCAAAGCCGTAGCGGGGGAAGGGGAGCACACCTGAAGCTCTCACGCATCAAACTGTAGCATGTCCAGGTCTTTCAGCTCCCCTGTGCACTGTTATGTCCACTCAGCTCTGTGCAGACCTCCAGAAAGGGTTCTCTGCCACCTCTGTATGTGCCAACGAACATCTAGAAAACAGCCTCACTGATGGGGATGGTCAGAAAGATTGAAAGTGCTCTTTGTAAAAATCATGTGTGGGCATGTGTACACTAAGATTGTCCAAATCTTAGGCTTAGGGTGAAATATGTGCCTGGCCCTTTTGGGTTAACACTGTAAAGAGGTTGAGCCAGGCAAATACTCACAAGGCTCAACACAATCACATCCTGTGATGATGGGATTTAGGGGGACCAGGCTCCAGGAACATCGCCATGCTGCTCCCCATTCTAGATAGTGTCCACTCTGCATTCTAAATTGTACACTCTGGTCCACTGTGCAATACACACGAAGTTGGTCCACTTAGAAACTCACGGAGGTGATCATCTCTTTGTAATTAAATTGTTATAACATGTTAAATAATGATGATTTTTAGTTGAGCAAGAATCTATGCATTTGGCTTCTTTCAAATTGTACCCTTGCAGTTCCAAAGAGCCACTCTGTTGTCAATGGCTCAATGCTGAAACAGATTCCGTACTAGGCTTTCCAGTTGCTTGTACGGATACACTGAACAAATGTCCTGAAAGTATCCAGCAAACTGCCTAAAGCAGGAGGCTGTGATGGCATTAGCTGGGTGGGTGCTGCAGCCGGAGGAGCCCAAGGAGCTCCAGCAGACCTCCCCACCCTCCACAAGGTCGGACTGGGCTCAGGCGGTAGGTGATCTGTGGACCAGGGAGTCATCTGTTTCTTCTTCCTCTGCTGCAGAAATCAAAGCTGTAACTGAACGCTTCAGGGGCATTACCCTGGATAATGAGCTTCAGTTGTTTCAGAGAAGTTCCAGGGACAAGTGCAATCTGAAGTTTGAAGACAGGAGAAAGGACTCATATACCTGATTTGATGAGTCTATTCCAAGTGGATCGAAGAACAGCTGCTGGGGCAGATTCACAGATTCATCACAGCCACCAGCAGACATCACAGCACCATCCAGATGAAGGGGCTGACACCATGTTCCACCTGCTATCCATCCACATTAACCGATTTTCTGGCTTTTAAAGAAATCTTTCCAAACTATGGGGGCAGAAAAAGGAGGCCAGGTGTAGAGTTCTGTGTGCAAATCATCTTGTGTGCTGGCTGCCAAAAATGATCTTCAGCTCCTGTGGGCAATGGGAGCACTCCAGATGCTGCTGGCTGATTAGCTGGAAGACGTTTGGATTAATGATAGGGAAATGCCTCTTGGGAAGACTGGACTGTCCTGCAGCAATTCATCAATGTTTAGTATTGATAAGACAAAGAGAAATGGCCAACTGTCCAGGACCTTTGCTTCTCCTGAGAACATGGCTGAGCCAGACTCCTCTGAGAAAGCTGATGCTGAGCCCAGGGGGTCCCTTCCCAGGCACATTCTGGTATGTCAAAAATGCAGAGTAGCCCACCATTACATCCCTGCCTTGTCTCAAATACTACAGCAGGCTTTGCACAGATGTCAATTTTTTTTTTTTTTTTGCATTCATAGCTTTTCAATGAGGGTCAGTGACTAAAAAATATGTCTTTTATCTAAACAGCACACATGAAAACCACCACCTAGTGTTGCATTTGCAGCCTTCTTCCCATTATGACTTCTGATGGAATTTCTAGAATTTGAGAAATTTCTAAATTTCTAGAAGCTTCTTTTAAGTATTATTTAAAACTTCATACATGAATATTTAGAACTAAACTTGTAGATCTAATTGTGGAATTTCCTTGATTGCTCCTTACAGATCAAAGTGCAGTCATATCTCAGTGCCCCCCTGGATTGGCTCTACAACTCCTCACAGACGCAAAAGCCTGCAGACGCTCAAGTCTCACGTGAAGTGGCACAGTATTTGCATATCACCTGTGCACACACCCCCACGTCTTTAAATCATCTCTAGATGACTTTAAATGCCTAACATTATGCCAACACGACTCCATTTGTCCTTGGCTTATAAAATGTTCAAATTTGCTTTTGGAACTTTTGAGAACTTTTTAAAAAGTAGTTTTGACCCTCAGTTGGTTAAACCTGAATGTGGAACCTACAGATGCAGAGAGCCCATGTGTTTCACATAGGGCACTTTTTGTTGTTAGTGCTATGAAGGAAAAGTACTCTCTGGGGGCTTTCCTATCCTATAGGGCCCCAGTAAACACTTGCTGTGTGCTAGAACTAAACGGAAAGGCACCCTTAACTTAGATCACACGGGATGTGCATGCAGGTCCGCTTAGAGTCCTTTCTGCATGAACTAGTGTTAGGATTTGGGGGGCTGTGAATTTGGTTAAAAGTGATGATTGCAATTCCCTCTTCCCATCAGAATTTCTCCTGTCAAGAGAGCATCCAGTGGTCCAGCTCAGCACGGGTGGAGACAGCCCTTCTGGGACATGATTCGGTTGTGAGGGTGAAGTAGTAGACCCCCTCAGAGCTCCCTCACCCCTTCAGCCATGTGAGGTTACAGGCAGAAGTGCCCCTGTGAACCAGAAAGAGGCCCTCAGGAGCCACCGGATCTGCAGCATTATGGTCCCGGACTTTGCTATCTCCAGAGCCATGAGCAATACATTTGTCACAATTCCCCCGTCTCCGGGATTCTTTCACAACCACCTGCATGGACTAAGACATACTCCATGGATAGAAAAGGTGAACTTTATTAAGCAGTTAAATGTGTGTGTGAGAGAGACTCGTGGACAATGCACCTCCACTTCCACGCACATGTGTCCTCGACACACTCGTCACATCTACACATCCTGTTCACAAGTGTTGGTAAAGTGGAACACAGTGCTGGCCTTCGGGGGGCCAAGGCCAGGCCTCGCTTCTCTCCCTTGCCTGATCTGACTCCCACCCACCCACCTGCCTCCTACCTGATGCACACCCCACGTCCCCCACCCAGGCCCATCACTTCCTTCTGTGGAGCTGAACTCTTGGTCTCACCGAAGCTCTGTTTTGAGGTCCTCGGAGCTCCCCACGGACTCTGTCTTGAGGCCAGCATATTCTCGTCTATGGTATCCACACTGCTGGGCCCACATCTGCCCTCTGTCCCTGCACAGGCCATGGCAGTGAGGGCTCTGGGTGCCGCTATGCTCCACGCTGTCTTATTCTAGACGCAATCACACAACCCTGCTCTGAACCCGTGCCAGGGCTGCATCTGCTCCATGTGGCCAGAGACACTCTACCCAAATGAGCAGCCAAGTGAAAGCAGGTCAGAGCTAACCCTGGCACTTATCAGCATCAGACAGATGCCTCAGTTCTCTGTACATGTCCTCACTCTCGAGTGGACGGATGAGTTGTGGGTCAGTGTACAACTGGAGTGCGGGGCTGCCAGGCAGACACATCATGGGAAATGGGCGTTGGTTTTGCTTTTAAATCTCAGCTCTTCTTTTCTCAAGCATGTGAAACAAACTGGGATATTTAGAGTCCTCTTCAAAGTTTTTACTTTCTACCTAAAAAAAGAAAAAAAACAAAAAGGAAAGAAAAACCATCTCATGATTACTTATAAAAGTTCTCTAATTTCTTTCCTGACAGTTAGAGAGCATCAGGTATTTTTTCTTAACTAAAAGTAAATTTGAGGCAGTTTTAAACCTTTTAGCTTGCATTCTTCCTCTTACCATCTTTTTTTTTTTTTAAAGAGAGAGTGAGGGGGACAGACAGAGAGAGAGAATTTTAACATTTATTTATTTTTTCTTAGTTCTCGGCAGACACAACATCTTCGTTTGTATGTGGTGCTGAGGATCGAACCCGGGCTGCACGCACGCCAGGCGAGCACGCTACCGCTTGAGCCACATCCCCAGCCCCTCTTATCATCTTTAATAAACTCATAAAACAAAAAAAAATTGCTTTTTCACTCTTCCATGGTGCCTACCTTCCAATTTTAAGCCATCTTTAGGAAAGTTTCCAGTTTTAACTTGTGCAGCACAATTGGAGACACCCTGAATGGAGGGTGACGAGGGCAGGCCTGGTCCCCCGCTAGGGCAAAGGAAGAGAAGAAGCAGCCAGCCCCGCTGCCCAGGGCCACCTGAGAGCTGCAGCCTGTGGAGGAGGACGTGGCGTTTGGGGATTGCTCTGTCCTTGGGCTCTATTCCGCCTCCCAGTCACCCCAAGAGACCGGAGTCAAGTACATGGAAGGAAACCCAGGCTCTCCTGCCGCGTAGCTGTGCGTGATCGACTATGATAACTGCACACTTGTGGGGCGCAGGGTGACCACTGCATACTGCAGACGCTGTGGCGATCGAGTCAGGACTATCAGCATTTCCATCTCCTTGATGGAAAGTGAATTCCCATCTTCTACTATCTCCTAAAAAAAAAAAAAGCATAACTTTGTTTCATCACACCACCAACCCTGCTTAGATAGATCCCAGCCTGACCAGGCCTCAGGTAGGGTCACAGTCTGTCTGCCTCTCTTCCTGCCTGAGCTGACTTCCTCTGACACACTTGTGTCCACTCTGATGTGCGTCCCACGTCCACCCACCATTCTTCATGCTATATACATCATCAACAGCTGCGAAATAGTCACCTCCCAAGCCTCAGGACATTGGAACCTACTCCTTCTCCAGCTGTGCTCTGGTACCTACTCTCTGGCTCCTCCTCCCACCTCCCTGTCCTCTACTGCGCTCCAGTCTACTGTCTTATTCTTTGAGACCAGTGGATTCGTATCCAGGTGAATGAGAGTCCTACCATGTCTGGCTGATTTCACTTAACAGAGTGTCCTCCGGTCCCGTCCATATTGCTGCACATGGCAGGGTTACATTCCTTTTTGTGGATGAATAATATTCCATTCTCTGTGGGTCTGTTGGTGGACACTCAGGTGGACCCCTTCACTTGGCTGCTGTAGAAACTCACTCACAGGCAGCCTCGGGGCTGGAGAGCTGGCTCTGCTCCAGAAAACCACCCTGCTGTGGCCATGCTCACCCACCCCAGTGCACAGCCCTTTGTGGAGAAGCAGTTCACAGGGACGCTGTTGGGGGAGGCCCCCAGCCTCTGCACAACAGGACCTCAGCTCCATGACTTTCTGAGCCCCTGCTCTGGACCAAGCCAGGTGTCTGCCAGAGAGCCACAGAGGTAAACACGAGGGCCTTAACAATTCCCTCCCCACGGATTCGTGGAGATATGAGTGTGCAGACCTCCAGAGGCTGGGATGCAGCAGAGTAGCGGCAGCAGGCACCTGCTCTCAGGAAGCTCACGGTCAAAGGCAAGGGCAACATCAGAAGGGAACTGTTCAAAAGAGAATTCCAGAGAGCAAAGAGGCTTATCACTAAAATAAAATAGGAGCATGTGTAAGTAAGCGATGGGAGCCACTCATGGGGGGTGGCCAGGTTCAGGGTCCCTGGGGAGGTGATATTTGAGGGGTGAGAATAAGTGGAAAACAAGCAGATCAGGCTGTTGAGGGTTTGGATCTAGGCTGGGCTGCAAGGTAGGAATCTATTTTTAAGCACCTACTGTGTGCCAGGGACTTGCTGTGCTGACACACATCTACTTACTTAAGCTCCACAGACCACCCTGGTCGAAACCATACCCACGTGGTCACCAAAACCAAGAGCAATGTATGCACCCCACAAGCCCCTTGACAAAATTGAATGAGAAAAAGCTGGGCACGTGACCTCCTCCATCCCTCTTAGTAAGTGAGGAAGCCAAGGTCCTCCAAGGCTGGTTTCTCAGGGCCACCCAGCTGCAAGTCACAGAGCTGGAGAGTCCATCCTGGCCTGTTGCTAAAGTGTCTGAGACTTTATTTTACTTCACAGAATTAGAAATGGTGTCAGTAGCATTCTGTCTCGATTATCTTTTCTACACATATTAAGTGAGCTTAGCTTGTTGTTTTTCTTTCTCAAACTGCACTTGTCACCCTGATATGAAGGTTCCAGGCTCACGCAATGCACTGACCAGCTCTACCCATGTTGCTATGTTCCAGAAGGTTCTGCACAAAGTAGCAGCAGCCCGCAGCCCTCGGTTGGAAATGTGGCATTATTCGTCAGTAGAACCACTGTTCATGGAGTGGGTGTAGTTTTGACTCTTACTATTGCTAGTAAGTGTCGTCTTTAGCTAGATTGACTAAGAAAGAAGAAAAACAGAAATTACCGAAGTCAGGAATGAAGAGAAGGACATCACTATGAACTTACAAAAAGTTAAAAAAAAAAAATTATAAGGGAAGATTTTGAACAACTTTATGCCAACAAATTAGACATTTGAAATGGGACATTGAAATGGACACAAGGTACCAAAACTAACTCAAAAAAATAAGAGAAAATCTGAATATACATGATCAAGTAAAGAAATCAAATTAGTAATTAAAAAATCTTCCCAGCAAGAAAAATTCCAGGGGCAGACCACGGCTTTGCCAGTGAGTGTGAACTGACACGGAGAAGAAAACACTCCTCGAACTCCATCTAAAGATAGGAAGGAAGGGGCGCTTTCCAGCTCATTCTATGAGGCTCCCGTCACCTTGCTATCACAGCAAGAGGGAGGCATCCCCAGAAGGGAAGCCCACCCTGGACGTCCCCGTGCCCACAAATGCAGAACGATGTCAACAGGAGCAAACCAAACCCAGCAGCAAGTAAAGGCCCTGCTCCGTGAACCAGCTCCCTTATTGATGTGGCGGGGTGGGCCTGGCAGTCTGCCCCAGGCTCACTTCAGGGCCTGATGGGCATCTGCTACCGACATCTGCAAAGCAACCTCAGCCCTCGGGCACCCTTTCCCGTGGGCCATGGCACTAGGGAGAGGGGCTCCGGGGGCCTCCTCCCCCACTCAAGGGCAAGAATTGGAAAAAGGGGCCCCCTGCCTTCTTGCCCTGTGATTGAGATGACACCGGGGACACATTGGCAGTCTCAGGGGTCCCCATGGGGCCAGGCCTCAGGAACCAACACACAGCGCATGAGCTTCCTTCCCTTCCCTGGTCCACTGTCCCACTCTTCCCAGGGCCACCTCCCCAAACCATTAGCACTGAAGTCCTCGTCTCTAGCCCTTCTTTTCTGACATGGCTTGAGCTCAGAGGAGAGCAAGGGAAGCCTCCCATGAGTTTTAATAAAGTCACTCGGCTTACAGCCAGGCAAGCAGATGGCACTACAGATTAGAACAGACTTCCCAGGAAAGCCCCCAAAAGACAGAATTCCCTCTGACTAGAGAGGGCACATTGAGCAACGGGCACTGGGTCACCTCGGCCTCTGGGCTCTCGCATCTCAGTGAGCAGCACCAAGAGGTGGCCCCTGGAAATCCAGTCCCTGTGTCGTCTTCACTGTGGGCCTGGGGCTGGCTCCACTGGGATGTCAGGGACCCTGCACCTTGGCAATGACCTGGATGGACACAGTAGCCAGGAGGTCAGCACCCACCTACCACCCACCTGAGGCCTGACTGTTCAGTTCTGTACACTACCGCCCAGTGCCCAGGGGAAGGCATGCTTGGAGAAGTGGGTAGTGCCAAGACCTAGTCCACACTATCATTCCCTTTAAACACACCCAGGCCCGTGGAATGTGTGCTGTGAGGGGTGTAACTAAGTTCCATGGGAACCTCCCTGGACCCACCTCCCACATCCATCTTCCTCTTTTGATCCTTCAACAGATTTCATTGCATCCCATCTCTGTGACAGAGTGCAGTGGACACATCCTGAGGGACCCTCCCAGTGCCCACTGCCTATGCTCTCCCTTCTCAAGCACTCAGAGCCTGTGATTTGCTTCTAACCCTCAGGACACAGCAGTGGTACCTGGTGGTCACTCCCTTGGCCACATAAACCTCTGTCTTAGTGCTGCGAGGTAGAAGAGGCTCTGTCGCTGGCTTTGTAGGACTTAGCTGCCATGCTGTGAAAGGACCAAGGTACAACCACCTGGGTGCACCTCCAAGGAGCTCCCAGAGGCCTTTAGGAGCTGTGAGCTACCACCAGCCAGCACTCAACAGAGACCGCAGCTAAGGCCCCAAGGACATTGATTCTGCACACGACCTGAGGGAGTTTGCAAGTAGATCTTCCCATTCAAACTTCCAGACAAGAACTCAGTCCAGGTGACACCCTGCCTGCATCCTGGTGAGCTCCTGCAGAGGAGCCTGGCAAATGGTGCACAGTCTCCCACCCAGTGGCATCTCTGCGATGTCAGATGTAGGTACCTGAAGACACTAAGGTTTGGGTAGTTTGTTATGTAGCACAGACAACATAGGGAGCCTTCTAGGTCTTCCAACAGCCTTGGTCTTTATCTAATTTCCCACACTGGACCTCGGCCATCTCTCTTGACATCCCACACAGGACGTATTACTGAGCCATTAGCAACCCTTAGCTCTGCAGGATTGGGATCTCTGGATAACTGCTAAAAGTCACCTAGCCTATGGCCTGGAATGACCAGGCCAGTGACAGCTGAACCACACAAAGGAGAGGGCATGGGGACTGGTCTGGCTGTTAGGGCTGTGCCCTGCTTTCTTCCTGAGCACAGGTAGACACGGCCCCCAGACCCCTGCGAGTAAAGCCACTGGTTCTGCCAATGGCATATTGATTTACAGAGGTGCTAGTCTCACCTGGAAGACAAGAGCATCCAGCAAGTGTGCTTTCTCTGAGCTTCATTCTCTTCTCTTACCCACCAACTAAAAAAAAAAAAAAAAAAAAAATCCCAGGGGAGATTTCTGAGTCCCTAGAGAATGGTAGAAAAATGCAGAGAAGCTGCTTGGGTCCCTGGAGGATGGCACAGAGCTGAAGTCCGCCTCCTCCCTGGTCCCTGTGAGTAGTTCCATCAGTCAGAGGTCATCCAGAAAAGCAGAACCAGAGGGTGGTGTGCCCCATGCTCAGCTGGCTGAAGTCTGAAGTCCTTAGGGCAGGGGATCGGGGAGAGCAGGACAAGATCTCCAGCACTCCCAACCCCTGCCCCATGGAGGAGCTCCCTCCACAGGACAGCCTCAGCCCTGCTCCCAGCTCTACCCGAGCCCATGAGAGTGAGCCAGCGGGGCTCAGAGCCTCAGTGTCTGCTTCTGAAGCAAGGCAATCACAGCTGATCCCAGGGGCGGTCTACCATGAATTAGTAGATCAGGCCCCAGGAGACCTCGAGGACTCTTAGGTGATGCAGACCAGTCTTCTTCCCCTCAGTCTTTGATTCCCCAGCAAGTGGCTGAGTGGCTACTACGTCTGCATCCCATGGTGGTTACCCTCCCAGACCAAGCACAGCCTCCCGCCTGGCGTGGGTCCTCCATCCTCGACACGCCGTCCCAGTTGAACTTCCACAGCACCATGCAGTGAGCTTCCTGCACACAAATTGGACCACATTGGTTCTCTCGTCCATCGCCTCTATCATTCCTTTTTGCCTTTATGTAAAATCAAGCTGCTTACGTCAAAGACTCGAGATTTCATGACACATCAGCATAGCTTCCTTGGTCTGCGTGCCCCAGTGCTGGGAATCATGCCTTATGTTCATTCCACCCACTCACGGATCCAGGCAACTGGTGCTTCCTGGTAACATCTTACTCAATTGTATTTCTATGCCCTTCTAAAAAGTGAGTTGGGACTTGATATTTCTCCTAAAAAGTGAGGCAGGTTGCCTATTTTGATTTTCACAACACCCCTTTGAAGTTGGAATATAATGACTTCCCTTTAACAGGAGAAGAGACTGAGGCTCCAAGGCCCAAGACTTCTCTGTCCCTGAGTGTCGGAGCTGGCCTCCACATCCAACCGCCTCACTCCACCGCTGGACTCAGTGCCACACTGGACTGCCCCCCAGGTCATCCCACCCATCACTCTCTGCTAGGAATGTTCAATTTCTCCTCCATGATTCTTCCCTCTTCCTCCTGGGAAGCTTCTCTTTACCTTTAGAGGCTCTGTTCAGAGATGGGGGCCTGGCTTGCGCTTGGCCTGTGCCCCTCTCTGCACCTGGGCCTCCTGCTCCACAGTTCACTGGGCTTCCTGTTAGGCAGCACCACATGCCCTCCCGCGTGCTCTCTTTCATGACTGGCCCTTGACTGACACAACGCTGATCGCAATGACAACCGGGAAGCTGCCAGAGCCCTGGTATCCCCTGACGGCCTTGGAAAGTCCATGTAGGGAACTTTCACCTGGGCTGCAGGTGCTGCCGAAGAGACTCTTCACATCTTGGTACCCGGACCCTCCTCTTATTGAAAAACAACACCAGCCCTGCCTGTCAATCAGAGAGGAGAAGATAAACATGGAGGCCAGGACAGCAGGCCATGACTGAAGTCCCCTATTGAAGGGGTTCTAAGTTAGAGGGCCTGACAGTCCCGGGTCCCCTGGGGAAAGGTAGGCTAGACAAAGGAGATGACTCTGCCTCCTCCGAGAGGGAGCTCACTCCTCCTTCCCAGCTTCTTACGGTTCATGGAGATGGGAGGGAGGAAATGGGAGCCCCGTCCAGACAGAGATGAAGTCCCTCTCGAAGGGCCACAGAAGGATTGCACTGTTCCTGTTCATCCATAGTCGATTTCTCTCCCTTGTCCTCCCCATTCCTGAAGTAGGACAACACGTCTCTCCTTGGGTGAACTCAGAAATGTCCACTTCACTCGCTCCTCTGACAGAAGGTCGGTAGAAGCAAGCTGGTTGCTTCTGGCAGATGTGTGATGGGCCAGCCTGTCTCCTCCCCTCTGCCACAGAGCTGGCATGGTGCCACAGACAGGAGCTCCATCAGGATGGGGACGGGGCTGACTCAGCAAAGACAGGCCACAAGAGAAGCAGGCGGCCACGGCTGCTGAAGGCTGCTGGGAGCTGGCTGCCCGCCCCACTGGGCCCACTCGCCCACTCTCACCAATTAGCAGGATCGGTTCTGTAGGACAGGTTTCTTCCTGTAAAAATAGAAATTTGGGACCCTGGAGGCCAGAAGACAGAAGACCCTGGAAGGTGGTGGTGGAGCAGTTAGTAAAACCCGTCTACACAAAAGTTCTGAGGAGCAAGTACCTCCAGGCCAAGGGGAGGCAAACAGCAGGCCAGCAGTGGCCTTCACGGGTATTCTTAGCATGGGGCAACGTGGTACAAGAAGGAGGTGTGTCGGGCAGAATGCACAGATTTCTGTTTAAGTCTGAGGCATGTACAGAGTCCACAAACTCAAGACCTTATGAAAGAATAAAACTAAAAAAGCTAGTTAAAACTTGGTTTCGTGGAAATGGACAGCTCCAGGTGGCAGCCAGCACTTCTTTTCAGCCCTTTGAATGAAGTTGACCCGAGTCTACCAATCAGGCTGACAGGTGCACACTCAGAGGTGAGCAGAAACTGTGAAGATGATGGATACCGTGTGTATGCATATACCACGTGTATGCATAAGAGGTCCTGCAAAAATCAGGAAGGTCCTAATCAGAGGACTTGGAGTTCATCACGAAAAGAGGTTTTCCTTGGGTGACCCTGTTAACCAAGGGTGCCTTCAAATGAGCTTTGAGAGATTCAAAGAATGAGTAATCTGCAGCTGCTCTTCAGAAGTAAGAGGTCATGTCTTCACAAGACCTGAGGACAACCTCTAGATCTCAAAGTGACCCTTGAGAAGGTCAGAGATAGAGACTTCAGAAGATAGAGAACTAAGTTCACTGTGGGGCACTGTATTCTTCCAACAACTATATGACCTTGAAAGAGGACCCTGAGCCTCAGGAAGGTGCCCTGTCCAGCGGACAGCTTGATTTCAGCCTGTGGGCCCTAGTACAGAGCCACACACACCCTGACTTCTGGGCAGAGAACTAAGAAGTTATTAATGTGCATTTTCTTAAGCCAATGAAATTTGATAATTTCTGAAGCAGCAATAAAAAGCTAACACAGCACCTAATAAATCTTTCCTGTTGGGTGATGGGTCTCAGAGGACAGATCCTAAAGATGAGGCTTGTTCAGAAAACTGAAACTCAAGATACCCACAATTAAATTTTGAGAGAAAGTCATGCCTCAGAAAGAATTGTAGGCGTAGCTGCACCATATGCTGTCTGAAAGACACCAGCTAAGTGAGAATTTGACGTCCAAAGTACCACCACTCTGGCAAAGAACTGGAGATTGTGACAGTTCAAGACCCGTGCGTGGGTCCTCCCTCTTCTGTGGGAGGAAGCAGATGAGAGAATCACCCAGCTCCCACAAGGGTGAGCTCCCCAAAGTCCTCTTCAGTGGTACCTGAGAGAGATCAGGAAGGGGCCGGTGGAAATGATTGAAATGTGCTAAATGCATGTACAGAGAAGCCATAACAAAGCCGGCGATTCTGTAAGCCGATCTAAAATCAGAAAGAAGGACCACGGAGAAGACAGGATATCATCCCAGATGGTGACTGAGAACAGTAGAAGGACTGTCCCAGGCCAGCAGGAAGTCTCATCATGTGATTGCAAAATTGCCACAGCCCAGTGATGGCTGTATGCTGCCATGTGTCACCATTTAGGAAAGGGAGATTATCTTATTCATGCTCTATGAGGTGTTTTGGGGTAGAAAGTGCCAAGAAACTTGTATTGGGGGCTCTTTCCTCCTTACCCGTCACTTCCAACCACATCGCCTGAATTTCTTTGCTGAGGATGTTCTCTGCTGACACAGAAGTCCAGATGTGCTTGGGAATTAACCTGGGGACCTCCCAGCGGCCAGCGAGTGTGGGCCACGCCTGCCTCTTCTCCAGCAGGACTTAGCTCCAGCGCCTCTGTTGGCCTCCTTGTTTTGATCTCACTTCCTAGTCCTCCAGCAGTATCTCTCTCACTCCCCAGATGCATCTTTCTAGGGAAGCCCAGCTGTGACACAGGTGTTCTTAAATACCAGGCAGGGACCTTGCAGAAGTTGTCATGCCTCCAGCAGAGACTTTGAACTTTGACCTTGAAGCAGTACCTGGGGTGGGTTGGAGTGGGGGCTCTGGAGTTGTCTTCCTAGGGAGACGGAGAGGTTGAGTAAAGGCAGCGGGATCTTGTGCACAGGAGAACAGACTCCCACTCTTTGTCTCTCCCATCCCAGCAGGAGAACACATTCCCCACTCTGAATTTAGGGTCCAGCCTCGGGACTTCTTTGGTCCATGACAGCAGGAAGAAGTAACGATTCATTTCCTGCTGAAAGCTTGCAGAGTCAGCCCATGGTTTGCCCTATTTCTTTTCTTCTTGCTGAACATCTGACAATGTCCCAGAAGAGGTTCCTTCATCAGCTGAGTCTCCTGTGAAGACAGAAGGGAGGCCCTGCCCACTTGGGATAGACAGTAAAGAACTTGTGCTATCACGGGGCCCTGAGCCCGCAGGACCCTTCACCGTGGCATGACCTAGCCTCTCTTGACTGACAGTGTTCCCAAAGGAGGATTTGGGGAGAATGAAGACACAGATACCTCCTGAAAGAGCAGGATGAAGCCATGCAGTCATCCAAACTCTGAAAATGGGGACAGTCAAAATGCAGACTTTGGCTGCTGTGATCAGGAAGGACAATCAGCGCGGCTAATCACAGGCTCAGTAATCACAAGGACCCAGAGCAAGAGAAAGCATGCCACGGCCGTTGCTCAAGACAATCAGGAGAACTTTTCTCTCCCAGATGGAGTCATAAATAGCCAGAATATATTATCGCCAGCAATCAGCAGACTGTGTCAGTAATTCTAAATGGAACTTTAGCAAATGAAGTGATGAAAC